CAGGCGTGCCAATTCTGGGCCAGAGGGCACTTGTTGCTTTACTGGCGCCTGAGCTGCCTCCAAGTGGAGAGGTAGAGAAACCTCGACCGGTTTTAGTCGGTAATGGCTGGGGAGTAGAGAGGAAGATTTGAACAACTAATTATCTCCTTTGATAATTTTTTAGAAGTAATTGCCTCTTTAGACAATTCTTTAGAACTAATTCCCTCTTCAGATAATTTTGTAGGATTTTTTAGATCATTATTATCCACTGACGATGAATTAATTGTTTTTATTGTAGATTGTTTGACCAATAATTGTTTATTATTTGATTTTGTATCATTTTTTTCAACGGTGTGCAACAATGCACTTTGATTCTTTTTTGTCAATCCTTCATAGTATCGAATGCGTTGATTATAATTTTTTTTATTTCTCTTTTGTTCGTCTTTTAAGGATGGTAGACTTAAAGTAATACTGTGATCAACAGTCGGAAAATGACTAATTATATTTGACTGGAATATTTTAAACAAATGAGAACGCATAAGACTCTGGTTGTAGATAATGCATTCAGGTTTTTGATTATACAATAGAGATATTGCAAACGCAATAGCAAATACACCACAGTCTGTACCATTATTTTGGTGTTGAACTTTCATAAAAAATGTTGATTTCTCATTAATATCACAGTAAGGATACAAATGTCGCAAAAATAGGATTTGATCATCATTTAATTTAAATGTATTAAGAGAATCATAAATATATATTTTCATTTTATTATAATATGAACATATCCAGTGTTTATCAGTACTGTATAATATTTGTATATGATTTCTCCATTGTGAAACAGGTGTAATTTTTTCAGGTCTTGTCAAATATAATGTGTCACGATGATCATAATCCGAACAATTAGCTAAAATTAATTTGAATTGATATATATGTTCATCTTGCAACTGATCTCCATTTAAGACCATATTTAGATACTCGTTTCTTAGCATTGGTAAAAGACATGTATTATCAATTTTTTTTTGTTTTTTCGTAGGTGATTTGTCTTTCAATGTTGTTTCAACTTGTCTTTTTCGTACATTCATTGGTAAATTATTAATTTCTTTTTTTACTTCTGTGATTGTACTTTTTCTTTCATCTACATCATCCTGTATGAGCTTCTTTTTTATAATGACATTTGAAAATTTTTTATTATTATGTGACATTGTAGTTTCTATTTTTCTTTTTCTTATATTTATTGATAAATTATTAGTTTTTGAACCTGTGAACTGCTGTAGCTCTTTAGTTTGTTTTGAAGTAGCATTCTTCGCAATATTTAAAATTGGAAACGCATTACTATTATTCATACTCAGTATATTTTTATCTTTTATTTCTATGGAAAGAACTTTTCCTAGATTTTCTCCATTGTGTACTTTAGGAAAACAAGTTATGTTATTACTTTGGAATATCTTTATTAAATGATGACGCATTTCACTATGATCATAACAAAATTCAGCTTCTATTGGCCACTCTCGTAAAGCCAGTGAAGTTGCAAATGCTATTGCATAAACTCCACAATCATAATGATTTGGTTGTCTTTGGACATCGGGGAACTCAACAGGATTCGCACTGAAATCAAAGTCGGGATATAATCTTTCTAAAACAATTCGATGGTTTTTGTGAAGTTTTTTATTGTCTGCTGAAGCTGAATCAAAAATATAAATTTTATGAGTATCATAATAACTACAAACCCAATGATCCTTACCATGTTTCTCATTATCGCAATGGATATACTCTGTTTCACGGCTATGTAAAATTTGAATATGTAATTTATTAACATCTAATTTCTCAATTAATTCAGGACATTGCACATGCCAAGATTCTCGAAAAGCATATTGAAATTGTCTATGAAGAAGCAACGCAAAATAATCTATGTGTGTGTCTTCTAATAATTGATTATTGATGATATTCAAATAGTCTGACTCTTTTAAAGGAAACATTTTTCAAGTCAAATAGGTTATAAATAAGTAAAAAATAGTCAAAAACTATAAAATAAGTTTATGAATAAAAAATTCCAAATTTTATTACTTAAATATTTAATTGTTTTATTTAACAATAATGGATATTTACATGTAATACCAATAATATTAATAATAATAATAATAATAATAATAATAATAATAATAATAATAATAATAATACTAAGTCTTAAGAATTAATGCGTATTTATTAACTTTTGAACTCCAAGAAATAAAGTATTTGTTAATTTTTCTTTAATTTGTCACTGCTAACAACTAAATTATAAATGTCGATCTGCCTAAAATTTATTTATTATTGAGCTTGTCGCACTGCTGACTATTTATTATTGAATTTGTCACACTGCTGACAATTAATTTATTTATTATTGAGCTTGTCGCACTGCTGACAATTATTTATTATTGTTGAACTTGTCGCACTGCTGACAATTTATTTATTATTGAACTTGTCGCTCTGTTGACAATTTATTTATTATTCAACTTGTCGCACAGCTGACAATTGTTAAGAATATTTTGTTGTTCTGTTGTCAATCTATTTATTATTGAACTTGTCGCACCGCTGACAATTAATTTATTATTTACCTTGTCGCACTGCTGACAATTAATTTATTATTGAACTTGTCGCACCGCTGACAATTAATTTATTATTTAACTTGTCGCTCTGCTGACAATTTATTTTTTATTATTTAACTTGTCGCACAGCTGACAGTTGTTAAGTATATTTTGTTGTTCTGCTGTCAATTTATTTATTATTGATCTTGTCGCACTGCTGACAATTTATTTATTTATTATTGTCGCACTGCTGACCGCTGATGAAATGAATTCGTCGCACTTCTGAAAATTATTTTTTAATTTGAATTTGTGTAGTAAATATTAAAATTTTTTGATAGTAATTATAAAAATAATAATAATAATTATAATTATAATACAATATATATAATTGTATATAATTAATACGATTATTATTATTACTAATAAATATCAAAAATTTAACTAAACTCACAAAGAGTTATCTTTAAATATTGTATATATTTATTATTTTTATTGACGAGGACTCTCGTTTTTTGAATAAACGTTTATAAAACTATCAAAGCAAGTGTCACCGCAAATAAGAATAAAAATAACAACAGTTGATGCTAACCTAATATCATATTTAATTCTTGTAATATATATACAATCAGCGTCATACATATTCCTTTTCCATGCATTTCCTCTTCAGGAAATACATGGATGAAGGAATACTAGGAATACATAACGCTGACTATGGAGTGCTATGTATATATTATAATACACCGACTTATTATGATTATATTTGGATTATTTGATTACTTCGTATGTTGTCAGAGGGCGTAACAAACAATTCCCTTTATAAAGTTACAAGTCCTTCAACGTCACTACGGTCAATTTTACTTAGTAAAGAAAATATACAAATATAAAAAATATACATGAAGATCTTGAAATCTGGAAATCTGGAAATGTGTTATTGATAGTTGCGGGAAAATTCAAAAATTCAAAGATAATTATAATTATAAAAATTAAATTTTAATATTAGAAATTATATAATAATTATAATAGTAATTCGTAATTATAATAGTCGTACAGAATTTTAATTCAAAATTAGCATAAGAATTTTGATTTTAATTTTCAATAATTGATTCAATAATTTAAACTCGGATATTATTATAGTGATACTGAAATCAATAATTTAAACTCGGATATTATTATAGTGATACTGAAATTAACAGACAACTAAAAGTTTTCTTTCTTGCGAATAAAAGTTTTTTGAGAAAATTGTTTATGCAGAAATTAAAAAAAAAACATTTTCTTATTATAATTGACTTGTTATTAACCTAAAAAATTTTCAGATGTCAGCTGTTTTGAGCATCATAAAATTTATAATTAAATCTAGTTCCGTTCATAAATCTTCAGATTTTTTAATATTTAAAAAGATCGTATTATAAAAATACTACCTAAAATAATGTAAGGTAAAAGCCCCTATTATTGACATGTTGTTTTATTTTATTGATTATTTAATCAATTTTATGATTAAATCACAATAAACATTGCTTTATATCAATTTTTAGAAATTTTTTAGTAAGAAAAAAGTAAAATTTGATGCCTGGGTTTTAATTATAAACTACAAAAAAATTTTATTTTTCCGAATAGACCACTACGGCTAGATTATTTAAAATTTCTTAACAATTTCGTTAATAGAGAGTGTATTTTAAATAGCGAATTTTTCTATATAATTCTGATGTAAGCCTATCATCCAAAATTATTTGATGTTATTTAAACTCTTAATAATCTTAGATTTATTTTTTTAATTAAACTGATAAATTTTAATTATGTAGGTACATATAAATTAACATGTGTCTAACTAGCGACAGCCTACAATTTTAATAAACTTAACCGTTTTAACATACATAGCGGGTTTGTTTACATGTTGTCTCGCGTAATTTTATAATAAAAAAAAAATTGTCTGAACAAAATATTGTTGTTTACTAGTAAATAATAAATTATATATATCCGAAGTTTAAATTTCAATTAAACCTGAATAATAAGGTTGACACCTGTCAATAATAGGGTCTATGGGTGTCATTAGTTGGCTCCGATACCATTTCACCCTGTCAATAATACCTACACTTGATATGCTGATTTCAAATTAATATATTTGTCATTTAATTAACGATTATTTAAGTATAAAAATTAAAATACAAAAGTTGATGAATCTAAAAAGTGTCTAATACCAAAAAAAAAATTAGTAAGATTAATTTGAATACGGTTAAAAAATTTAAATGTTCGCCGTCACTCTTAGTGTCAATAATGAGCGTGTTCAGCCGAACTAAGTCCTGAGTAAACTTAGTAAGATATGTATAGTATAGTAGATAGATATATGTATAGCAAGGAATGCTTTGACTATACTTAGGCTAACTAAGTTTACTCAGGACTTAGTTCGGCTGAACACGCTCAATGGGGGCTCTTACCTTATGTCAATGACAAAGATATTCTTAGCATTCAATTAAACAATTGGATGATGTAGGTATATTATGATCTCCAGAGATATAGATAAATAATACAGATAATGCTAATAAAAGCATGTTATTATCAAAGTTAAACAATACTTGTTTTATTTTATTTTCAAATTTTATTATTTTTTATCAAAAATTTTAGATTAACATATTAAATATTATTTTTCATTAAAAATTTTAGATTAACATATTAAATAATATAAATAATGAGCTGTTAGAAAAACAATTGAATAGAGTCAAAAGATAATTTCTTGCGGCAAAAAAATAATTTTAGAGTTTCATTGTCACAAGTCAAAACGATAAATTCTTGAATCAAGTAAAATTATAAGTAATTAAATAAATTTATAAATTTTTTTGAATCAAGAATTTTTTCACTTAAATCATGACAATGAAAGTCATCAAAATATTTTTTTTGGACCAGAAATCATCTTTTGGATCTATTCAATTATACTTTAGGTCAAATAAAAATGAAATTTTCCATAGCTGCTTCTTCCTCTTCCTCTTCTACTCCTATTATTAAATTGTTGACCCCTTCCACGATTTTTTCCCCCTCTGCCACTGCCTCTTTTATTGTCATTGCCCCTCCCGTTGCCTTTTTTCTTTTCTTCCTTCTCCTTCTCCTTGTCTTCTTCTTCTCCCCGACGTTGAGATTGGCTGGCGTTTTTACGCCCCCGCCAATTTGCACGACTTCGGCCAGCTGCCGAATTTCGACGGCTATTTTCTAAAAAAGTGATTTTAAAAAATTTAATTAAAATTTAATAAAAAAGTTTTATAAAAGTTTAGCTATTTTCTAAAAAAGTGATTTTAAAAAATTTAATTAAAATTTAATAAAAAAGTTTTATAAAAGTTTATACCTTTTCGAGAAAGAACAGAGCGCGTATCATCCTCATCATCATTTTCCTCTGGTGGTGGTGCCGAAGAGCTAGCTGAAGACGGTAATGGTGCCGAAGAGCTAGCTGAAGACGGTAATGGTACCGAAGAGTTCATTAGAGGCGGTGGTGGCTGAGAATTTCGTGGAGGTGGCGGTGACAATGAATTCAATAAAGAAGGTGCAGCCGCTGATACCGATGATAGGCCAGGAAACGGTGTAGGTTGACGCGCACCCGCTAACCTGGATAAATCAACTGGTTGCTGTTGATTGACATAGGTTGGTGGTGGCTGTACAGTGGTTAGTTGTGGCATACCATAACCATGTGGTAACCCTGAGTAACCTGGTTGGGATGGTGGATAAAATTCCGGTGCCCACATCGACTGTAAACTATGATAAGCTGACATTGATTTCTGGAATTGATTAACAGCTTCCGGTGGCAGCGGGGGCTGCTGATAATTATTAGCTGCTCCTGGTAGCTGCAGCGGTTGACTATTGTCAACTGTTCTTGATGGCTGTAGCTGCTGGGTATTATCAGCCCTCGGTAGCAGTGGGAGCTGCTGATCATTAGATACTGGTAGTGGCTGCGGCGATTGATTATTGTTAACTGTTGTTGATGACCGTGGCTGCTGGTTATTATCAGTCCTCGGTGGCAGCGGGGGCTGCTGATGATCACTAACTGCTGCTGGTAGTGGCTGCGGCGGTTGATTATTATCAACTGTAGCTGATGGCTGTGGCTGCTGATTATTATCAGTTCTCGGTGGCAGTGGGGGCTGCTGATTATCATGAGCTGTGGCTTGTGATACTTGCTCCGGCGGTGGTGGTGGGAGCCACCAATTCAATTGTGCAGAGTTATAGGGCACCTGACAATGAACCCCATGACTGTGTGCAAGTTGGTTGTAATACGCAACTGCCCTTTGGGCTTGTGTCATGGCGTTGTATAGCTCATTATTGACTACATCTGAAATGAATGAAAAAGATTATTAAAATATTATCATAATATTTATTAAAATACTTATAAATTTGTATTATATTTATTTATTTATTTATATTATATTTATTTATTTATTTATTTATATTATATTTATCTATTTATTTATATTATATTTATTTATTTATTTATATTATATTTATTAATTTATTTATATTATATTATATCTATTTATATTATATTTATTTATATTATATTTATTTATTTGCATTATATTTATTTATTTGTTATATTTATTTATTTATTTATATTATATTTATCTATTTATTTATATTATATTTATTTGTATTATGATTTTTTTAATTATTAGGTTATATTTATATTATTCTTTTTATTATACTTATCTTATTGTTATTTTTACTATGACACGTAAATTATCAAAGTTTAAAATAGAATTATAATAGATAAAATTAATTACTTGATGGATTTGGTTTTTTAGAACTCATCTCGGATGCGAAAATCTGAAAAAAAAATAATTAAAAATAAATATATTACAAGTTTAAAAATTTTATTTTCGTTCAAGTTTATTGTAGAAATAAATAACAATAAACATTAATTTAATCAATTTTCAATTATTTGATTTATATTTAATTTATCAATTTATGAAAAAAAAATTACAATAAAACTCATTTCTTTTACTTACATGTTTTCTTACAATGCGACCGGCTCCCGTAACAATGTCCTTTGAAAGACTTAACAAACAATAATCACCTACATTCACACTCCTTCGTTACACTTTATTGAATATCGATATCGATTGCCACGCCTACTACCAGAAAAATCATTGAACCTGTCAATAATGATGAGAAAGCAAATTTTGCGGTAATTTATTTTTGAATAAGTCTCTCTATTAATTATCAATTACTAGCCGGTTTAGACGACAGGTTCTATTGTTATAGAAATATTAATAATAACAATGTTAATTTTATTAAAATACAATATTAAATACTTATGATATGAATAATATATGAATGAATATGATATAAATAATTATGAATAATAATTACAATAACAATAATAATGTCCAAATTAAAATTATTACTTTAGTTTACGGAATAATACCAATAACAATAAAATTAATATTTAATTTTTTCATGTCTACTTTTAGATTCGACTTTGCACATGATTTTACAAATGATAAAAAATAGTAATAATTAGAATTTAAATAAAACGCTTTCGTGTAAATTTTTTAATTTAAATCATCGCGGATTTCATTAATTAAATAATAAAAATCATAATAATTAATGTTAAATTTTTCATGGTTTTTTTTAAATAGAAATAATAATAACGATAAACGATTAATAATATAATAATACAAATAATAATAATAATAATAATAATAATAATTTTTTTTAGGTAATGTGATGTTTATTAATAATTTTTTTTAGGTAATGTGATGTTTATTAATAATTTTAGCAAAAGCTATTTACATCATTTTTAAAATTACAATTTCTGTCAAATATTACTGCTATACAATACAGTAATGACAAAATTTATAACAATACATATATGTATATATATATATCTAATACTATCTACAATTTAATATTATTCATAATATCAACGTTCTTTCTAGTATATTCTTTAAGTTTGATTTTAAAAATTTTGTTCGGTTTTCATTATTATTATTATTATTATTATTATTATTATTGTTATTATTATTATCCTATAAAGTTATAGTTGAGCTGTTAGATTTGAATCCTCGCGCGCTTTACGAGGTAGTGACAAATTCAAAGTCTATTTTTTAAGTAGTAATGGGACATGTTATTATTCGCAGATAGGTGTCACTGATGTTAAGTCGTAGATAAGTAGCTAACTTTAGAACTTTAGAAACGAGGCAGAATTAATCAAATATTATACAATACATGTTAAAGTATTAATAATATTTGGATTATTTAATTTAATTTAAATTATTCATGTTCTTTAGAGTAGAGATAACAATGAAAATGATATTAATATTACTATCGATGTAAATGTCAATTTTTTTATTTCAACACTAACGATTACTATTAATTCTTATGAATATGATAAAATTTTAAATAAAAATGTCTAACTTATAAATATGATAAAATTTAAAATAAAAATGTTTAACTTATAAATATGATAAAATTTTAAATAAAAATGTCTAATGTAAACATTCGCGCGCTTTTAAAAAAAACAATCACTATTGTTATCGATAGGTTAAATCTTTGGATACTTTTTAAGCAAAAAATAATAATAATATAAATTTCAACTGAAAGTATGATTATTTTATTCTTGAAAATTTTAATTTTAAATACTTGTATAAATTTTTCATTTTTATTTTTTTATTGAAGAAACTGATTTTTTATTATAATGATCATCCTTGTTAAAAAAACTATTTAATATTCGCATACTTTCTAATTGAATAATAAAAATAATTATTACAATTTTTTTGCTCTTTCTTTAATTTGATAAAAATGTTTCAGCGTTACAGTTATCAGAACTTTTCTCAATAAACAATCAATAATAAAACTGTGTGTTCAGAAGTTACTGATACTCATACTGTTGGAGGAAAAAAAGAAAACAGCTATCTCTCAAATTGAATGTTTTTTTTTTAATTTTAATATTAATGTGGGCCTTGTCGATTCATAATAATATCAGTTCAGAAGCTGGGGTTAAAAGTATTGAGCCCATCAAACTTGACAGCAGACAAGAGATTAAAATTATTATAATAATCCAGATAATTGGTCAGATATTGAAAAGAAAAATGAATTTGCATAATTTGTTATTTCTGCTGATACATGAGAAAATGATCAAGGGAAGGTAAAAAAATAGAAGGAAAGGTTAGGCAAAAAAATTGAAGTGATGGGAAAATATTGCCAGTACTAAGAAAAAAAATATTGCCAGGAATAAAAGACAGAGGTGAGTCTATTCAGCTACAGATAAGCATGCCAGAAGATTTTAATGCTGAAATCATCTCTGAATATAAAATTTGTTGTAGTTATAATTTACTTTTAAATTTTAAATCCATTAATCAGTTGTATGTTTGATAATATGTTTGTAAAGTTAATATCTAATATCCGGCATTACACTTAAAATAATATATCTATTATAAAATACCCGCCACAAATACTCATCATAAAGTATTGGGTTAAAATTAATTTTTTTTTATAATAGTTTAAGTTTTTATCTATGATCCTGCGGGGTCCCAATTATACTTTACTGTGCAAATTTTTGAAAACAAAATTGTTAAGTAGGATATTGACATCTTCCTTTTAGTTATTTAATCATTTTTTGATGAAGTTTATGAAACTAAATCAGCTTTTTGGAGTATGCCGGTTTCATATTTTGCCGTAAAATATATTGTTTATCCTGAATTTTATGAAAATGTCAGCTTTAAAAATTTTTTGAATATCGTACCTATATTCACGAATATCAAATAAATGCATAGAATGAAAACATTTGGAAATGTTATACGTATAAGACCGTGCTTCAGCTCATTTTAGATGTATCCATTATCAACTGTAACAAATTGAGATATTTCTTATTATACACTATTGTCAAGTTAATATTAATATTAACTCTTCAACACTTTTATATTTTTTAGCGGCTTACTTGAACTGTAAAATTGTTGAAAGATTTAGTAATAAAAAAAAAAAACAAGCTAAATAACAATATGTAATTACGTATTAGATATTAACTTATTTATTTAAAAAAAAACAACTGTTGCTTATGTTGGGTGCTTTAATTAAATATTCTTCCTCAATGCTTATTTTTATAATAAAAAAATTTTACATGAGTTACTAATTGGAATTCTGCTCAGATAATGATAGTAAATATCGCAAGTACATGAGTTTAATATTGAATAACATTATGATGATATAAAATAATAAAAGAATAACTTGCCATATTGTTATCAACGTTTTTGTCATTTAACAAATGTAATTTTCTTTTATCTCTCCCAGTAAATTCATCATATTTTTACCATATCAATGGCATATAATTTTTTAGAAACATATTCCGGTAATTATGATTTGACTTTAAAATTATTATTGATATTTCTATTGAGTTATGTCACTTTAAGGTTATCTTTGGTTAAACTGCCTTATAAATAAGATATTAAAATGTAAACATAAGAACCGCTACCTTGATAAAATACAAATGAGTTTTTTTCAAATAATTGAAATAAGGCAAATTAATGATTGTATTTAATTATTTTTTTTTATTCTGCTGATTTAACTCGAATTCAAAGTCCTTATATTTATTTAAAAACTCCGCTCATTAATTTTTGTGATAATTTTACGAAATTATCTACTAGATTATCAGTCGGTACAATAGTTTTTAGCAGAGTAAAATTTGAAATATCTACAAAGAATTGCATTTTTTCGAAACAAATGACAATCACAATTTTTAATTGATCAATATTTTAACTTGTTTGTGAAATTTTTTTAATAAAGCATCTAATATTTCTAAAAAAAATTGACAAATTAAAATAAAAAAAAGACATTTAAGTTTATTTGGCTATCATTATTGAAGATTTAAGAATTAAAATATCCTCTGGAATTTTAATAATTATAATTATTAACATATTACTAAGAAGGTTAGTTTATTATTAACAATATGACTTATTTTGACTGATTATTAATTTAATTTAAATTATTTGGTTCATAAAAATTATTTTATTCTGTTATTAAAAATCAATTAATTTTTTCAGATCTTAATGAACGCCGATGGCACCTAGAGCTCAAGTTTCTGTTGAATCAGCAGTTAATGCTTTAAAAAAGCACATAAAATATTTTATTCCTCCTGAGAAACCCAAATGGTCTTCGAAAATTTGGCGAATAATTTCTGACGAATTAGGAAATCAGTGGAATGAAAATGCTGTTCGTACGAATGTAAATCAAAACAGAAGAAATATATTATCAATTGCCCTGCAAGAATGTGGATATTTCAGGGGTGAAATTAATACTGAATCGAGTAAATATGATGATCTTCAAGATGAAAATGTTGACAGCAGTAGCAGTGACGAAGATGACGATAGTAATGATCCAGACTATTGTGATCAAGCAGCTTATTTTAATAATATTGAGGAGATTCAAGAATTTGATGTTGAAATATCCAAAGAATTGTGGAATAGTGTTGTGAAACCTAGTGCTGGTAACAGTCAACCCAAGCTTAATAAAGGAGCTTGGACGAGCATTATTGCATATGCCTTCTGGGAGCAATACCGACTAAAATGTTGTTTTATATTCGATAAAGGCTATATCAATGTGAATGGTAATTATTTTTTATCAGTAAAAGCCCACTGCAAGAGTAAAAAATGTGGCAATCGGTTATTTGGATTTATAGAAGGTGTTCCCTTTGACGAAGGTCCCGTATATATAAAAATTAAATGCTGTGATACTAGATTTATAGAAAAGCACGAAGATTTTCAAAGGCCACTTCGAGGCGAAACAAGAAAAGCAGTGAGTCAACAAGTAAGAAATCTTGGTGTCCATGCGTATAATCGACGAGCAGCTATCAAATTATTAAGGTCTGGTGATACTGCGTGTCCCTTCCTTTATAAACCAAATGTTCTGCATCAAGCAAAAAAGCAATTTCTCGATAATGAACGAGGTATAAAGCCGATCGATAGAAAAGATATTTTCCCAGCAATTGATCGTATAAATGAAAATCCTCTTTATAGAAATTCTATCTTATTGGTAGGCAAACCATTTTTTGTTTTTTATGCCACACAGTCTCAAATGCATTGTTATAAGGAATACCGCCGTCTGAATAAAAAATCATCTATTTGTATAGACGCAACAGGGGGCCTTGTCCGTAAAATAATTTCTGAAGGTAAAAAAAGTTCATACATATTTTTATATCAAATTGTGATCAACTTTAATAAGACCTCGCAATGTGTCTACCAAATGCTAACAGAGATGCAAGATGCTCATACTATAACTATGTGGTTAAATAAGTGGGTTAGTGCAGTAAAATTATTACCCCATGAAGCTGTCTCTGACGGATCCCGTGCTCAGCTGAATGCCATGTCAAGAGCTTTTAATGACATGTCTTTGAAACAGTACATTAAACTATGTTTTGAAAGCATTAAAAATCCACAAAAGCTCACGGATATTAAAACTTATATTAGATTGGATGTGGCTCATTTTGTTCATACCATTACGGGCTGGAGTTGTTTCAAATCTGCAGTACATCCATCTGTGAAAAAGTTTTATATCTATTGTATTTGTCTTTTGATTGACTGCAAAGAGTTTTCAAAATTCGAAAGAATTCTAATGTTAATTTTAATTATCTCCAACACTGCTCATGAAGATAGTGTTGTTTATGTAAAAGATGAAAAATTTACTCCTCTCACCGCAAGAACGGAGTTAGAAAATTTAATCATGTCCAGAAAGGTGGAAGAATTTTTTTTAAATGTAAGTGAGCAAATCGAAAAAATGGAAGTAGATCCCGAAAAAAATAAATTCAGAGATACTGAGCTTGAAAATTCTGAAAAAGACTCAGTATCAATTTCATGTTGGATAAAGAATTTATTAAAGGTGTCAAAAAATGTTTTTTATCAAGGCAACAACCTTCAAAGTTTTTTCTTACCTGCATTAGAGAATCCACTTGTAGAAGCGGTCGTAGAGTTTCCTTTGTGGACTAACATTTGCATTCCTCATTCTGACGTACTAGGAACATCAAGCTACATTGAAGAAGATTTTAAAGACCTAAAGGAAGCCATGAGACGTCAAGTTTCTCTGCCAACAGATGTTTATACCTTTTTAAAACTGCATCTAGATTATTTAATTGGTGGAGTAAGTTTATTCAGGATGAAGATTACAAAATTTATTGACGAACATATTAACAATACTGAAAAAAGTCTCCCCGATCTTTTAAATTGTAACTTAAGTGAAATAAATGTAGAAGAAGATGATTCTTCTAAGAATTTGATGAAAGAAGAAGAAAAAAACAAATATAAGAGCTCTGATAGTGAGCTTATGGATACTACTAATACTTCACTAAGTAAAATAATTGTAAAAGAGGATGATTCTTTTAAGAATTCGATGAAAGGAGAAGAAAAAAAAAATAACAGCTCTGATAGTGAGCCCATAGACACTACTAATACTTCAAATCAATTTGATCAAGGGGTTTCAATTACTTCTGATATTAATAAACAGATAAAATTTGATCTTAATACTGATAACAGTGTGAATGTAAATTATAATTTAAGTGATATAATTGAAAAAAAAAATAAAAATGATCCTTTTGAAAATTGGCGAGGAAAAGGTAAAAATAATAAACTGAATCCATTTGATTGGATGTCATCTGGGGAATCAGCTGATGGTAATGAAGCTAAACCAGAAATTAGAACTAATTTCATACCAAAAGATGTTGGTAAATTTAGTAATATCACTCATGTAAATGATGATATTAATCTCAATAATGCTAACAGCAAAATCAAGCTCGCTAATAATTATCCAAAGGATCATGATAGTAATATAAAGACTTATCAGGTCGATGATGACTCTCGCGGTATCACAAAAACAAAAGCCCTAAAAGATCATGATTATGGATTCACTACAAGTACACCATTAGAAGACAAAAAACCAAAAAAAACTTTAGCTGCTGCAATAGATAAAATATCTAGACAAAATATTAATTCTGGAAAATATTTTAATGATTGTCCAGAAATGAAATTACAAAACAAGTTTGTTGAAGCTAGAAAGGAATCTGTTACATCTGAAGAAAAGTAAAAAAAAAAAATATATTTACTGCGTAATGGTAATTATTGCAATGCGGTATCGTTCAAAGATTGTCAGTGGTTATTATTCAACACGTGTCCTTTCGACACTATTATTCATTTACTCTTCGAAGGTGCGCTACAAGATTTTAATTTTTCAGAATTTTGTGAAAATTCTCAAAATTCTGTTTTTCAATTTTTATTAATTTTTAAAAAACAAGGTTCAACTGCTGATACTTATGAGAGAAGATTGAACATTTTGTACCCTATTTACAAAAATACAGAAATAAAACAAAAAAAAATTGAAAAAGAAAATCATATCGCTTTACCCATTTCACGAACAATTATCTGTCAAGATAATGTTAGTTCCTTGTGGACTCGTCTCTTTACCAATGAGCCAAGTATTTTCGAAAAAAACTCTTGTCCTACTCGAAATTGTAAAGGAAATAACATTATAAATATAACAAATTTTCCTATTAATTATGCGACCGTCATTAAATATGGATTTAGTTCATTACAAAAAGCCGTTGAATTCGACAGTGTTATTTATAATATGCCATGTAAATATTGTCATGGAAAGAAAAGAACTCGTCGACAAAAACCCAACGTCTATATTTATATCGAGCTTGATGTTAAAACTCCTGAAGAAACAATGGGTCGAAAATGTAAATTACGAGATCTACAAACTTATTTAACTTTACCAGTAATTGATGAAGATGATAACGTTCATCATTTTCGTTACCGGTTTGTAAATTATTTTATTTCTGTTAGTATTCTTTCTTGTTATAATTTTATGTTAATTATTTATTGCATTTTAGATTGTCTGGAGTAGCTGGATATACGAATAATCATTATATCGCCTACTGTCGAAGACTATCTGGGGCATGGATAAGTTACGATGATACGACCAAGAAGCCAAATTCTGAAGTTTCTAGTTGTGAAGTTTTGCCTCATGGCGTTTTATATATTAGAAGTCTGCAATAAATACTAATTTTTTAGCAATATATATATATATATATATATATAACAGACATAATATCATAGATGTATGATCTGTAAGGTTGCCTAAACATTTGAAAAATGCCTCTTCTTCTTAACTAGCTTACTTATTAGTACTTATTAGCTAGTACTTACTAACTAGCTTACTTAGTAGTCAAATGTGATAATTCTAACGGAAAGTTTTCTGTTTTTATTAATTTTATTGTTTCTTATATGATTTAGATAATTAATCTTATTTTGCATGTTTAAAATTCACAAAAGACTTACTATTATTAATTTATAAAAAGTGTCTTAAAAAAACAGCACTGTGTATCACAAACTTATTGAAAAAAAAAATTTTATTCACAATTATAATTTTAGAAGTTCAAAGACTAATAAATAAAGTATTTATCATAAGGCATACTTTATTTTTTAATTACTTGAATAATTACTCGAATAATTTATTGGAAATTTTCAGTTAACTCGTCAATAAATACCAGCTTACCTTAATTTATCCTAAAATAAATATACATACTCAGTTATTTGAACGATTTTTAATTCGTAATACTTAAAATTTGACAGACGTATGACAGTTTTTTCGATTTTTATAACTTAATTGTTATGAAAAAGAGTTTAAGAAAACAATTCCCCTTATAATAATTCCACTTGAATGGACTTTGTAAGTACTCTTGATTGCACAATATTTAATTTATAAATAACCATTCATTACTTTGTTATTTTTATAGTTAAAAAATATACTGTTTTGCAATAATTTTTTTCTTATTAATTAGGGATGATGATGATGATGATGAATTAGCATCTTAAGTAGTTCAATTAGGTAATGGACCTGCGACATCAGCATCTGGAAATCCACTCCTAAATGAGCCAAATGTTTTTGGTGCCACGGAATTTAAAAAAGGATATGTTATGCTTATATGTTGCTACGACGCTAATGGAAAAAAAAGTAATTATTTATTATTTTAAATTATTTATGGAATTTTATTCAGAAAGCTATTAACGTTTTACTTGAAATAGACTTTGAAATTATTCATTTCTCTAGCAATAAAAAATAGGAAGTATCTATTCACACGCACAAAACTCCTGATAAATCCACGCCGCGTGAATGTAAAGGCCTTAAATCCACACTGCGTGAATGTAAATAAGGCCCTAACATTCATGCGGTGTGGATTTATCAGGACTTTTTTACGTATGAATAGACACGTCCTAAAAAATAATAGCCCCTGAAAAAAATTGCGTTCGATCCAAAGTACGAATTTATTTAATATATTTTTTTACTATTCCTGGAAATCGTTTATTAACTATGTTGAAATGCTTGAAACGTATAAATTAAAGATAAAGTAATGATTTATATATTACTTTTATTACAGCCCCATTTGATAAGCGAGGATGGAAAATGTACTACTGTACCTTACGAGAACTAGTACTTTATTTACACAAAGACACGAGCACGGCCTCCGTAACGACAGCTTGCATAACGCAATTCAAATTCATCATACACTGGCAACTAAAGCGTCGAATTATACGAAGAAGCAACATGTTTTCAGGCTCCAGACGGCTGACTAGGCGGAATATCTCTTTCAAACTAGGTAAATTTTATTTCTTCTCCTACGCTATCTAATTTTGAATTAGCTAAGACATTGAAGAAAATTTATTTCATATATAAGAATTTCATTAGAGTAATAGTCGTTTTGTTACTGTTTCCAATATTTATTAGACTTTGACTTACTTTTTATTTTCATTTTTTTTAACATTTCAATGTTTTTAAAATACTATTATTTATTTTTTTCAGTGATTGGAAGGAACTACAATCGTGGATAGACACAATAAATTTTGTTTGTGCAAATTTTTCATGTCAATCTCTTACTAGAGCAGTAGGTTCTCAACGAAAGTTACAGCGGCCTTTGCTTCCCTGTAGTCACACCAAATTGACACCTGTAAGCATCGCCAACCAACCCACTACCAATTTATTAATATAATTTAATCATAATATATTCTAAAATATTTTTTAATTTAATTAAAAAAATAATTTTTAATTAACGATGTCGTTAATAATCTATTTTGATTCTGATTTTTATTTTCAAGCATTCCTCCACACTTTGAGGCAAACTCTCGTATTAGTTCGCATCGGAGATGCATGACTCGTTCGACAAAGATTGAAATATTAATATAAAAATAATATAATAGATAAATTATGATTATGAACAACAAGCAAAACACCTAATAATACATTTCACACAGATATACGACACGCTGAACACCGGTTTATTACCCTAATTGGAGTGTCTATGCTCATGATTATAATTAATTATATTTTAGTGTGAAATAGTTTATCATTAGTGTCTGTATAAATGTTTTAATTTAATATTTATTTTTAGCTGAACAATTAAGGGACTACGAAGAACGAGTTAGCAGACTGGAGGCTGAGCTCGAGAAACATCGAAGACTTCCGCCGGAACGGGGAGCTAAAGCTCTCACTCTACAAAATTACAAACAAAAAGACGCTTATCTTCATTATGATGTTCAATATTTTTTTTTTTTCAATTTGATTATTTCAAAGTTTTATTAAATTAATTGACCTTTTCCGGAAAAAATTTAACTCATAAATTTTTAAATGAATTAAAAATTAATTAGATTAAAATTTTAAAATTTCAGATAATTAAACTTCTAATATAATTAATTTTTTTTTAGAGTTAAAAAAATACAAGACGTATTCATATTTCTTACGATCCCAACTAGCATTTACAGAAATGGAGCTTTCATTAGTAGAAAGCAGCATCGGTGAAGTAGACAAAGACGTAGGCAGTGGAATGTTAAACCCAGAAGCTGGTATGATACCGCCACCGGTGCCGGATCGTCCAGCAATAAAAGGTATAGTTACAGAGCTGCCATTTACAATCATAATCTGCTGAATGGTCAGGACTACGGCTGTGATATTGGTTGACGCGTCATAGGTATCTCCTCAGCGTGTGTAATTTAATTGAATATTTTATTTATTTCATCAAATCGCACAAATTTTCAATGAAAGTACGTTTAACTTAACTAAACTCAACAATACTATGACGACAATGATGATGAACAAGCTAGTGTACTCGGTTTACTGTAAATTAATCCAAGATCACGGATATATCCGGTACTGTAAGTTTTGGTCACGGATATCCGTTACTGTAAGCTTCAAATCACGGATACATATAGCTTGAAGTAGCATTAATCAGGTAAAGACTCAATTCTATTATGATTACTTTTTAAAAGATAACGTGAATCACGATATGATTTTTCTACCAATTAAATGTTTTTAAATTTTATCGATTTATAATTTTGATTCATCGAAGCTTCAGTACTACGAACAGATGGAAAACGCAGTGCTAAGTCAAACTGTATTGAGACCGCAGTTCTTCTTGTATCGATTAAAATAATTTCTTTTTGCTCTTGCCTATTCAATAAATTCTAATAACTAAATTTCTGTCATTTTTGCGATAGTACAACAAAGACTTGCTAGAGATTGAGAAAATTTACTGAAAGATTTACTCGAACTTCATGCTAAACTGCGAAACTTACTAGAAAGTTAAAGTTCAGCTAAAATCAGCTAAGTACTTCCAGAGTTCAGTTGGTTTTCATACAGAACATTGATGATCCGTGGATTAAATTATGATCTTAAGAATAGTCTCAATTAGGTTTCGAGATGAGAAGACTGTGGAATGTCTAAAAACTGGAAGAAGCAATGAAGATATTTTAAAATTATTGTTTATTTTTTTGTTATTTAAAATTATTATACTAAAAAATATATGTTATTTAAATAAACATATTTATTTATTGAACTAAAATTATTATTGACACAATATACCATTGATATGTGGTGCACCGAATCGTTTAATATACTCATTAATTTAATTCGAGACTCTGATGTTCGTCGACAAAAATAGCCAGATGTTATTTTCATTGCATCTTTCGGACGACTTTTTAATTTAATAGGTGATGATAAAATTAAATTTCCGTAATCTAGATTACTTTTATCAACAATACGAGAATGGTTTTTTAAGTCTCCTGATAAGCAATCATTGATTTTATTTTTTTCTAAAACTAATTGTACTGGACATTTCTGACTCCAATTTGCCTTTAAAGATTTAAAAATTTTTTTAATAAAATATATAATTGTATATAATTATATATAATTAAAAGCTAAAATTTTGATGGAATTATTTGTTTATTATATGGAACTATATATTGTTGGAGGGCCTGGGTAACAATTTTTAAACTTGACAAAACTATTAATTTTTGTGCAATTTAATTTTTTTTATAAGTTAACACAGTTTCTATTATTTCATCCGCAAAATATTATAGATTGAAATATTATCAATCATTGGAGTAACAGACTCTTAGTTAAAAAAAGATAATGGTCTATAAGTAATCACAAAATACTTACTTGAGCAAAAAAATTAAATATATATATATATATATATATATATTTAAGAGGGAGAAAAATCTTTGGAGCTCAACTAAACCGTGTAAGGTTATATTATACCAATATACACCATATTTTATTATTATTATATCAACTGAGTATGCGCAAACCGTTTATAATATAATAATATTAAGTCATTGTCGAGCGTTTAGTTCAGCGTTTCATGGTTGATATATATATATATATATATATATATATATATATAATATATCGCGTGACAAAGTTTTTTTTTAACTTTAAAAAATCAAAAATTGTATTGTAATAAGAAATAATAAGAAAGTTTTCTAATATCCTCAATTTCTTTACAGTAAAATCTCACTGAAATAACTGTACCAAACATAACTCATTTCGTGAGTGACTTGAAAGACACATTAATATTTTTTTCGCTCTATAAAAGAGACTAAGATAGATAAATCGCAGATTATTTTACGGAGAGAATTTGTGGTAGTGTAATCGATCTTTGAATTGCAGTTTTTACAATTTATAAGATGGAAATTCTCATCATAATACAATCATAAGAACTTTCATCTTGATGGTTACATTTACCATCGAATGTTTATGAAAATAAGATTATAGGATACATTGAAATAACTCACTTTTTAAAAATCTTATGTATTGTGGTCAGGAAATGAATACTTACACTTAAAAAAAAATTACAAATAAATAAATTATTTTTTTGGATTATCACGTGATTAGATTTTATAAATCTTTTTTTTTGAACTGTTTTGATATTTTTTTCTGTTTCTAATTTATTTACTGGCTCGTGTACGTCTGATTTCTAATAAGTAAATTATTTCAAGTGAAAATCTATTCTGTAATTTAATTTTCAATGCTCAATTGAAAGAGTATAATATTTAGAATTATTATTTAATAGTCAATTTAACCATCAAGATGGTTATTCTTACGATCGTATTAT